TTCCCTAATTCCGTTCCTTGTTTGTCTTTAGAGTAATGAGTTAGACTGAGAAAGGAGTAGGGTTAGACAAGGACAGCATTAACGTAACAGGTTAGACAAGGAAATGAATAAGGGATGACAAGGATAGCACTAGCGACATAAGTTTGACAAGGAAAGAAATAAGGGTAAAGAAGGATAGCAATAAGGTAATGTGTTAAACAAGGAAAAGTTTAGGGATAGACAAGGACAGAAAAAAATGGCGGCCAAACATGACGTCATCGCGCGTTTGCGACGCGACTACGATTTTTAACAGGACTACAGAATACAAACAAAGGTATTAGACAAAGAAGGCACTAGTGTGCGACAAGGACGGAAAGAAAACGTTTCCTATTGGCTGGCGGGCCGCTGAGCTCAGCCAATCAGGTCCTAAGTCAAGCCTGTCCGTGAAAAATCATTAATAACTCAAAAATTAGGTTCATTTTGTGAACTTTTAGAATTGAAGAATGAAGTATGAACCTCCAGCAACTTTCTCGTATAAATTTTATTGCTCTAGACGTATCCAATAATTAGTTATTAACAGTTTTAATACGTGATGTCGGGAACGACAGCGCATACCGTCAAGTATCTTTCCGGTTTTTCAATAATTTCACTGCTTTCTACTAAATTCTGGTGCAACTAACTGTATGCTTCTAAAAGGCAACTCCTTTGGCTACATTCTCGTGCAATTTTTATTAACATATTCGATTCAGTTTAAGAGTTATTAAACATTCTTTGGGAGAGTTTTACAACCGTCGTATTCACGCGTAATACATTTTCGTTATTTCAATAGATATGCGTGGCTAATTGTGCACTTTCAAGCATACAGAATGTAGAATGGACTTTTATCTATATTCTGCAATTGGATTGGTAGTCATACCTGGGGTGGTTTCGTAGATATTAGCAATTGTTTATAATATTCGACTATACTCGAGTACGATGAATAGGAGACTCTCCCATATAATGTTCAATCACTCTTAAACTATAGCGAATATGTTAGTAAAGATTGTACAAGAATGTAGCCAAAGGAATTATCTTTCAGATGCATGCAGCTAGTTGCATGAGAATTTAGTAGAAAGTTGTGAAATTTCTGAACAAACGTAAAGGTATGCGGTATCGTTTCCGACATCGATTACTAAAATAGTTAATAACTAACTATTGAAAGGGTCTAACGCATTAGAAACTAAAGTAGAAAGTTGCTGGAGGTTCATACTAGATTCTTCAATACTGAAAGTTCACAAAATCATCGTGATTATTGAGTTATTAATGTTTTGTCACCGACCGGCTTGCCTTTGGGCCTGAGCGTCGGAGGGCAGCGGCCAGTCAGACGATAGGAAACGTTTTCTCTCTATCCTTGTCGCACGCTAGTGCTTTCCTTGTTCCCTAATTCCGTTCCTTGTTTGTCTTTAGAGTAATGAGTTAGACTGAGAAAGGAGTAGGGTTAGACAAGGACAGCATTAACGTAACAGGTTAGACAAGGAAATGAATAAGGGATGACAAGGATAGCACTAGAGACATAAGTTTGACAAGGAAAGAAATAAGGGCAAAGAAGGATAGCAATAAGGTAATGTGTTAAACAAGGAAAAGTTCAGGGATAGACAAGGACAGAAAAAAATGGCGGCCGAACATGACGTCATCGCGCGTTTGCGACGCGAACTACGATTTTTAACAGGACTACAGAATACAAACAGAGGTATTAGACAAAGAAGGGAATAGTGTGCGACAAGGATGGAAAGAAAACGTTTCCTATTGCTCCGCGGGTATCTGGCTCCACATCCTGAAAACCAATCAAATCGGTCAGTGAAAAATCATTAATAACACAATAATTAGGATGATTTTCCGAACTTTTAGAGTTGAAGAATGAAGTGTGGACCTTTAGCAACTTTCCTATATAGATTTAAATAGACTAGACCCTTTGAATAATTAGTTATTAACAATTTTACTACGTGATGTCGGAAACGATACCGCATACCGTCAAGTATCTTTCCGGTTTTTCAATAATTTCACAGTTTCCGGCTTAATTCTCGTGCAGCTAACTGTATGCGTCTGAACGGCCACTCCTTTGGCTACATTCGCATATAATTTTTATCAACATATTCGTTTTAGTTTAGGAGTTGTTAAACAGTATATGGGAGCGTCCCCTATTCAGCGTACTCGAGTGTACCCGACAGTTATGAACAATTGCTAATATCTAATAAACCACAAGACTTACGGTCACAAAAATTATTGGGGAATATAAATAAAAGTCCCTTCTACATTCTGCATGCTTGAAACTGCATTATTAATAACGGGTTTCTATTGATATAACGAAAATATATTACGATTGAATACGACGGGTATAATACTCTCCCAAAGAATATTTAATGACTCCTAAACTAAAGCGTATATGTTAATAAAAATGATACGAGAATATAGCTAAGGGAGTTGCCTTCCAAAAGCATGCAGTTAGTTGCACGAGAATTTAGTAGAAAGCTGTGAAATTATCGAAAAACCGTGAAGGTAGTTGACGGTGTGCGGTATCGTTCCCGACATCCCGCACTAAAATTGTTAATAACTAATTATTGAAAGGGTATGGAGTACTAAAAATTATATGCGAAAGTTACCGAAGGCCCACTCTTCATTCTTCAATTATAAAAGTTCACAAGATCATCCTAATTAATGAGTTATTAACGATTTTTCATCGATCGATTTGATCTGGGGCCTGATAGGTGGAGCTCGACGGCACGCCGACCAATAGGAAGCGTTCTCTCTCTGTCCTAGTCGCACACTAGTGCTATCCTTGTCTAATACCTCAGTTTGTATTTTGTTATACTATTAAGAAATCGTAGTTCGCGTCACCTAATGCGATATGGCGTTAGTTTCACTTTTTCAAATTTTCTGTCCTTGTCTAACACTATATCTTCCCTTGTCTTACACATTACTCTAATACTATCCTTCTCTACCCCTATTTCTTTCATTGTCTATCTCATTACTCTAGTGCTATCCTTGCTTACCGCTATTCGTTTCATTGTCTGCCTTCCCTATTGCTATCCTCGTTATCCCTATTATATTTAATTGATATGTGATACTTATATAATCAATTTTTATTCTTAATTGTGTTATTGAATTGTGTTATTAGTTGTTTTATTATTATTTGGTCCGTTGGTTAGTTTGATTATTTATATTAATGTATCTATAATTTGATTGAGATAGTGCGAGTTAATATGCAATGTGTGGTTACATTGGGGAGGAGAATAGACAAACATATGGTAGAAGAGAAGTGATGAGAGGAGAGACGTGAGATGTTTTAAAAGTCTGTTTAAGGTTATTGTAAAAAATTTTATTGAAACATTTCCTGGCTTTACTCCCGTACAATATTAACGATGTGTACAGTAATATAAGGTTTCTGGTTTATTTTCAAGTACTTTAAGTATAGAATAGTTGCTGTTTCTTGTTAGGTAACTTAAGAAAATTTAATAGATTTGGAGTGTAAAGGAGCAATAAATAGACTGTAAAATGCTGTAAAACAATACTGGTATATTGTAACCTTTTGTAATATACATTTTAAACAATAATTTTACAAGAAATAACTGATTTATTCATAAATAATTGCATTTCTTCGATTTAGGTCCTTTCTTTGATTTCTAGGGTGTCCCGGAGGGTCCACCTGTGATTCGTACAAAAGAATTTATAAACAATTTCTGGCTAATCTATCGAATGCAATGGATAATTCAATGAAAAATGAATATATCAAGTTGTTTTATTAACTCGAAGCATACAATAATGTTATTTAGGCCTCCCAATAATTATAAACAACGATCTACATTGCTTTTTCACAGAAAATATTAATTATTCTACGACTGAAGTACTTGAAAATAAAGTATAAACTTTATTGCACTATTTACCAACTCTAAGTAGATTATAACTAATAATTCCAAAGTGTCTATTGCATTTAATTGTTAATTGAAGTTTTTCGCTCGATTTGAGTGGTTATCTAACACAACAGTGGTGACTAAACTAAATGTTCTAATCTTACTCTATGCTGAATCGGTAACCTTACACGTGTGTACATAGTCGGTAAGGTAGCATTTGCGTACGGATAACGAACGGACGCACGATAACTTACCGATACGTGTCGTCATTATCGACTAAACGTCGGAAGGTAATAAAAAAGATTTTCCATTTGCTCCGATCAAGTTTTCAAGTTTGTCAGATGAAATAAGAGCGGCAAGACTTTCTTCCGAAAGCATTCCGAAACAAAGGGAAAACGAGCATTCCTCCGTGAAGAAGTGCACGTGCGAAATACAGAGCGGAATTGTAATTTCTGATGAAATATACATATAACTAAAGTAACGTGCACATTCCTTTTTCTCTCTTCTGGTTTCTCCGATTTTCCAGCTCTTCCTCCCATAACTGCGTATCTATTCTACCATTCTTCTTACAGATATTTCTCATAAATGATAACCAACCAGCGAATTTATCGTATCGAAAGTAAATCGTTGCAGAGGTGATATCTGGCTAGTTTCCTCGAATCTTTTTCGGAATCTTGTGATTTCGGCAGTGAAATCGAAGCATGTACATAAGTCTAAGACCGCTGCTCCGGTTTTCTTTGTGTCTGTGAAAAGGAAAGTTCAACACTACACAGTTCCTGACTGGTAGATAAAGGTTGGATTAAAAAAGCTAGGCGCGAGTAAAATTGATCGACTCTCGGTCTCTTTATCGGGAATGTATGTACATGTATACCTATCGTATACGATATCATACTTACACAGGTTCTCAGATGACGCAGCATCAGGAATCGTTTCTCGGCGGGATGAATCTTCCTCTGACTCAGCCTCGTTCCCCGTTTCCCCCGTTTCCAGGCGACTCTCCTTCCTTTCGACGTACATAGTACTTACATAGGTATACTACGGAGGTATAATAGGAAAATTCGACGAGTTAGAGCCGAGGGAAGTGTTGACGTTTCTGGTGATAGAAGGCGGCTATCGTAAATAACTTTAAGGAGAAAACGATCGCTGTCCAAGGACACTCTCCTCCGCGTGTCCTTTTCTCCAAGAATTCGCGTGCACGTCACTATACAGGATAACGTTGGTCAACGAACCCTCCTCGCGATAGCTACGGATCAATTGAAATGCACCCCTCGCTCCTGTCCTCGGTTCGTTATCGTTTCAAAGGGGAAAGCCTATTCTCTTGGTTAAAATTCCCGAACATCGAGAAGGTAATCATCGTCCGTTTAGCTTTTCTTCCTCCTTACGATTTCGGTGTACCGTGATAAAGTTCATTATCTTTGGTAAGCACATGTAGAGAAGTGGCAAATGGTTCGATACATCGAGCATTTCCCCTGCAATTTGCTGTCGGCAGATATAAAGCTAAATCCGGCCTCCCTATCTCGGAATCACGTTCGTCCGTTCAGAAATGACCGTTTCGATGCAGCTGAGAGGGTAGGTAATTGTCGGAAACACGTGGAGGAAAGATGAAATGGGGAAGGGTGTGAAATGGGCGCGAGGGTGTCGCAGAAAGGAATAATTATAAGGGACATATGGGAAAAGACTGGCGGTGCGGCGGGTCGCACCTATTCCCCGAGCGACTCCCTCGTACGGTTCGGTTTGTCCCGATTCCTCGGGGGTGCGCACACGTGCGTACGCGTACGCGTACGCGCACGCGCCTCCAATTGCCTGATAACGGCGGGTGTCCGACGTCGTTCTCAGTAATGCCTGGCGCGCCTTGGCGTCGCGACGCGTCCTTCCATCTTTACAGCGCCGTTTCCACCACACTCGCGCTTCCATTCGGATCGTATGGAAATAAAACAACGCTGGTTGCAATCAACGTAGCGTTACGTAGCGAACTCTCGAGACCGTTCGACTAGAGAGAGAGAGAGAGAGAGAGAGAGAGAGAGAGAGGAGCGCGACTACGACGACACTCACGCGAGTTGCGTGTTTCGCTATATCGACCGGTCGGCCGGTCGGTCGGTCACTCGCGACCGAACGAAACGTCAACTTGTACGCTCTCGACGGTTAATCGCTAAACAGCACCTGCTCACCGAGGTGCTCGCGTTTTTCCAACTTTTCCCACCGGTTCTTTCACCAGTTCCACCCGACGGAAGCCAGTTGTCGACTGGCGAACACGCGCCGGTAGTTTTGCGCCGTACTTTCGGACCAGAGTGATATCAGCGCGCGTTACTGATACGTATTTGACAAGGTGAAAAACTGACAAGGATGTGGCCAGAGCGACGCTGTTGATCATCGGAAAAGTCGTGGAAATCATGATGCCGCTTCTCTTCTTGTTGCTGTTACCGATCGGGACATCTGGCTCTGGTAAGTCAGGTAAGACTGGTTCGTTCATCTTGCGAACGCGCTAATTTTCATTTGAAAAGACCATCATTTTATCGTGGACGTGTCGAGCGTGGAACGCAGAGGCATCGCGCAAACTCGCGCTATCAAATACACCATAAACGAATGCAGCGTAGCATTGTATGCTAAAAAGTCGCGTGTACTACGATCCCGATTTAGCATGGTCGGAATAGCGCGAAAAACCGACACGGAGAAACGGGGACCAACGTTCAACGTTCAAATATAGGTTAAGCGGCGATCAAAGTTGACCGTCGTTCGGGGAACTGTCCGAGCGTTTCGTCGAACATACCAGTTCTATATTTTCACACAACACCGCCACGCGAAGGTTGAACCGATGACATTCGCACTTGACCGTAATCGGGGAACGGGGAACGTGATATCGCCATGTCGCGTGCAACCTCCGGCGGGACTCCTCGCGTGATTTCAATTTGCAGCCGAAAAATCGATACTCTGCCCTTTCCTCCGGTTTCCACGTACGTACGTATGTACGTACGTACGTACGATCGAACGTTCGCGATCGTCGTTAAGATTACGACGTCTAACCCGCGTGCGAGATCGCGTCGTAAATATAATTATCGAGCGTTGCTCGAGAGCGGCAAATTTACGGGTGTTTACCGGTAAATTCATTAACGCGCCATCAAACTGGTTGGCACGGTGTTCTCGGTTAATTACGAGATCCGAAGCGTGTGCTGTGTGTTTCGCGCTAATGTAGAAGCATGCAAAGAGGTAATTTAATGGTAGGAAAACACGCAACAGTCCGGAGCATCGATCTGAATTCTTTAGGATCGTTGGAGAATACGAGATTCGGGTGCAGCGGCAACGCGTCGGGTTTTATCGGAGGTTCGCAAGAACGGTTCTCCCCTGGCGTGTAAATTTTCAAACGATCGACTAGACGCGTACAGTTGATAGAGGTGCACGACACGCGAGAAATACGAGCTCGCTCGATAGGAACGCGAGGCGCGTTAATCCCGAGAGCGTTGCACGCGGCCGATTAACGTTCGGCTCGCAGCCCGCATGCACGCGAGAACGCGCGAACGCGAAACGCCTCGACGATTAACCAGTACACCGCGCCTCGAGACGGACGGCAAATCGCGATTAGTCGCGGTACTTTTTCCTTCGCCTGAACGTGGTTTTTCCTTTCGGAAATATTTCGACTTGCCACCTCGTGGGATAAAGGGTCGATGAAACGGTAAGGTTGCGAGCCACGAAATATCGCGTGCAGCTCCGAGATCGTTAATCAACACGGACCTTAAAAGCAACCCTCGCCCCTTCCTGCAACTACCAATTCGTAATCAGAACGAGGGGGGAGGGACAGCCGCATAGAGAGCAGGAGTCGCGCATAGCACGCGTAGACGTTACCGATAATTCGCGACTTCTCTCGAGCTTCGATCGGAGAGTATGTATTATATGTATATGGTATACCTTCGCGTCGCGCAAGCCGATTCGATTCGTTATCTGCTAGGCTACTCTCCAGCTGTATACGAACCTTACAATTTCAATCCACCCTGTCCTTTCTTCCCCGTAATCTCTCCGCGCGTTATACGCAGCAGTGAATTTTCCTCGCGTAATTCGTTAACGACGTAATTTAATCGAAGGTTTACTGGGAAAAACATTAGGCGTGTACTTATGTAGGTGAACCGACACCGACGATCCCACGGGGCTCTCGGACTTGCCACACCCCATAACCCAAATACTGAAACTAGCAGCCAACCTTTGTCGTACACCTTCTTCGCATTCTTCTCCAACTTCTTTCCGAACAATTTCCCGCAATCTGCGCTAATGCGAATGGGAACCACCGTAACCGCGAGATTGCCGATACGTGCCGCAAGTCGTTAACGAATACGAACAACTCGGGTATGCTCCTTCTTTCTCTTCTTTCTGTTTTTCCAGAACAAAGCCATTCCTTTCCTCGTTTACCGCTGCTGTGCTTCCTCCACGCTAGTTTTCCACCTTTTTTCCTTCGCCGAGAGCGACACACACGTTCGACCCAGCGAACGAATAATTTGAAACGGCTAATTTGAAAGTCTAAACGGGAGAGAGACAGTGGAGCGACGGACGAAGGAGGATCGACTGTGTCCATCGAAATAAGCCCTCTCGGACTTTTTAGCATCGACGACGATTAAACGGAAATGTACTCGCAAGAAGGAACATCGGGAGCGTAAACGTATAAACGGTCCAGTTGCTTTCCGACTACAGAGTAGAGTGGCATAATTAATCGTAACGCGCCGCGTGCTAATGCGCTAGCGTACACCACGAGTCGGCAGTTATTAATCAAACAGAAAACCGGTTTGCGATCGTTACGATCCTGGACGAACAGGGAACGTCCTCGCAACGTTCTGTAAAATTTTCTAATCACCGTCTGGCACATCGTCGCGTGCTCGAACCGATCGATGAACGACGCACGGAAAATTAGTCACCGTAGTTTATCGTTCGCGTCGTATCATTTCCACGATGCATCCGCGACATTATACGGTATAGCGCGTGATGTATACAAAGCAAACAGAATCGAGGTATACGTGTAGAGCGGTGAAACGGGGCACACGGTTAGCCCTTGTCAACGTCGCTTATTATCCACTCATTTTCCAGATGCTAAAGCTTCCCTTCTTGCTTCCCCAGTCGTAAATTTCACCTGACTGCAACAGTCGAACAAACTACGTATGTACGTACTCTCGCGATATTCGTTGTGCGATGCATAAAAGAAAAGAAGCCAGCTATCCAATACCGAAAAAGCCAAACGAATTCGTGGAATTTATTTTCGTTCCGACTCGGAATACGAACGATTGGTGAAAGATGCAACACGGCGATCTATACTGTATATCCCCGAAAGGTTACACAGCCAGAAAAGAGAAGACAAATTTTTTCGCCGTTTAACCGACAAGAAATCGACGGAGGACATAGAAGCAGTCGCTGGAGGGTAATTGCTTCTTAAAAAGTAGGCCATGTTTACCCTAACTTTGATTAAGCGGTCGACACCTTATTGCCAGTAAAACGGTCACGATGTGGTTGCGCGCGTTCTGCCTTCGAGGTAAACTCGTTCAACGATAGAAGAAGAGAGCGAAGCCTAAAGGGGTGAATTAGAGAGAGAGAGAGATGTAAGCGACGACAGACAGTTTTAGGGAAACGCGAAAGAGGCGATAAACATCGGGGAAGATTTTAAGAAGGTCGTAAGTTCGTTGTTACGCCGGTTGAAAGTTGGGTAGAAGAGCAACACCTTTCTCTTCTACTCGAAGGGTGTCCAAGTGACCTAAATATGAGAAAAATAAAGGAAAGGAAGGAGAGGAGAAAAAGAGAAGGAGGAGGAGGAGGAGAAAGGCGACTAATTTATCGATGGCACATGTACGCAGGTGTTCGCGCGACAATGAGAAACCTCTTGTTTTCGAACTCGGGATGTTTGTACACGTGGTCGATCGACCGTTTTCCCGCTCGTATGCGCGTCGCGACGCTAACCACGCGTCCCAAGATAATTACCAAGATAAACACTCCTTGTCAGCCACTTATTCGAACAGATCCGTTGGAAACGAAATTGGGATCATTGTCGAGTAAATAACACGTCTGGCTAGAGTGCGATGGGGGCGGTTGGCAGCGAATCAATTTACACGGGGCGCGTGTATCGGGATCCATGGTGTTGGGGTGGCCCCTTCGCTCCACGCGAGCTCGGAAGGCGCGGAAGGTCCTTGGAGATCGGCGACCGAAAGGGCTCTGCCGAGTTGTATGGCTGCTCGTATCGTATTCACGGTCTCTGTTTTCGGGAATCGTAACTCGATGTGCGAATAGGGTTTCCACGTACAACCATCTCGCGCCTGTAGATCTAGCGCACGAGCCATCTCCTTTTCATCTTGTTCGCTCGTTCTCGCATAAACCGGGATTACGCGCGACAGTTACGAGAAAGACAGCTGGCGCGACGTGACGCGACCAGTCACTCGTGTTCGCAAGAACGTGTCTTATTTCGAATTAGGTACTAATGGGTTAAGGAAGCGGCCTTCGCGAATATGCAAAGAGCAAACGAGTTCACTTGCGAAGAAAGAGTCGCGGCGGCGGGCTATAAGGCAACGAGATCGCATTAACATAGCTCGAGAGGTGTATGCGTTCGAGATACTTTCAGAGTTTAACTCGACTTTTGCGTGACCGTCGCGAGTCCTCTTTCGCTCGCCTTACTCGCACCCTCGCATACTCACCCCCCTGCCTTTTCGCCTTCCCTACC